ATTTTGTTGCTCCTTTTTATAGATACTGGCGAGCCACAGGTACCCTAAACGTACCGATCTTTCACCTCTGTTCCTCCTGTTTCTTGCCTTTGGGAGGATTACATCTGCTCTCTACTAACAACTTTTCTTTCCCTGGGCTTACAAATCTCATCAGGGTTAGAAATAGCTCCTTTGAAAATCCAACACGAGGCCAATGATTAGTAGGGGTACATTTTAATATTAGCAAGCTGGTTCCATTTTCATCATAGACAGTAAAGACCTATAAGAACACCGACAGGCATCTTTGCATGATTTCATTATTAGTTGTATTCCTCAGGATGTGCAAATCCAAACCCAGTGGGACTAAGGGGATAAGGAACAGAAATGTTTGATTATAACAAAATCCACTCTTTAAAAACAGGCTGAAGTACAACAACGGCTGCTCAGGCTTATAATTTATTAGTGTGCAATCATCAAAACAAAAGTGTAACAGACTTGATGACACTGCTTTTTCTGCTACAAGACCAAAGATAAGAACAGAAAATAAGAGAACTATATTAGGTGGTTGAGTAGCAAAGCATCTACCCAGATTCACAGAAATCTCTGAGATCTTAAATAGCAACATTATTTACAGCAGCCAGAGAAATTTGTTGTTACTGAAAAGCAACATGATAGTAACATATCACACAAAGGCATTTGTTCTTACATTGTGCTACACTCCACCTGAAGCTCAATTGAAACACAGACCTGAATTTTGTCCAAAGCCTGTAAGTCTTTTGCCATTAAAATGAAAAACCTGATCCTGCAGATTTTATTTCATATTATCATGTTTATTATAAGAAGCAGCCCCCCATAGTTTATTAGGCTTAAACAGTTTTAAAGAATTTAGTTGCAGAATATAATGACAGTGGTGAAGAAAAAAAAAAGAAATTAGAAAGTACGGCTAAGGGGAGAGGAAAGTAGAGGTGAAGAGGAAATTAGGAAGTCCTTATAGCCCTATGGTAGTGCTAGAGGAGAAAAAGGCTTGCTGCAGAGCACAAAGGATGCAGCACAGACAAAGCACAGCCTGAAGAGGAGACAACCAAAGACAGAGAAAGAAAAAGTCAGTATGAAAGACTTCATTTATGTTGAATAAAGATACAATCCTTGATTTGCAGCAGGTATAAACTGCCCTACCTCCCCTGACCTTCTGTCCTAATTAGTGCCAGCTGAGAAATTGCCATACCTTGTTTTTCTACAGGTAAATACTGAAGAAAGCAGCGTGCAGACTTGTTCTCCATTATGTATCACATTAGCAGGGTCCATTCCTGAAGCTCTCGCTTCTCAGTTAATTTCAGCTGAATCTCATAGATCTATATTTAGAAATAAAATGAGATAAATGCCAGCTGCTGTACTGTTTTCCCAGAATTTACAAGGCACTTTAGCATGGTTGATGAAGTCTCATACTCATCATCCATGTAACAAAACATGGACGGGGCTGTGGCCTGCACATATCTGGAGCCATTGCACATGAAAATAACTGAGCAGCATTATACTGGAATAAGAATGAACACAGGTGCTGAAGGAACCATTAAACATGTCACAGGTAGAGCTTCAGTGATTCCTGACGGTTGCTCACACTCATTCTGCAAGCCCCATCACATTGCACAAGGTAGCTCTTGTGGGGTATAGTGTGAAGGGCAGCTGTGTGCTAGCCCTGGAAGGGTTGACTCTGTCATATACCATCCTCCTTCCCTCCTTGTTAGGTAGGATAATTTACTATGCATACTGGGAATCGAACAGCAAAATACACAGGAAAACACAGCATCATTAATATTTTTATGCATGGATTCTAATTATTTAGTCCTGTCCCAAAAAGTAGCAGATCATTTACTATTTTAAAAATTGACATTAGTCCCATCAGGAGCACAGTATCAGACACTGCAGGATGCAAAGAGGATTGGAGGGAATGAAAGGCCAGAAGTAAGAGAGAGGGGTTTATGAATTCTTCCTCTGTAAAGAGTAAGTAGCCCAACGATCTGTTAAACAAACATTTTTATGATTTACATGAAGAAACTGATATCTAAGTAGAAATCGGACCTTGGTTAAACATTCATTAGATTTCACCCACATCACAAAGGAAAAGGACAGGCTGGATCAGCTTGCTGCAGGCTGCATGTTTGCCAATACTGCAGAAGGCAGGTTACAGGAGGGCATAGCTGGAGTGGGAAGAAAGGATGAAGTCTTACTGCTTTCAGTAGCATTTAGACATATTCTGGATAAAATGAAATAATGATTTCAGTAGGCAAGACCTCCTGCTCTGTACTGTTACAGATGAGAGATGTGAATTGATTCTTACTATAAACTTATGTTAAATGTTGTCACCTCACTCAGCCCAACCTTCTTCCTCCTCCTTTATCCATGACTCCCATTCAGTCTGTGTGAGCTGTGTGTGTATCAGAGGTAAAAGAGTAAAAGGAAAGCCTAAAAGTCCTTTCAACTATATTCCACCTGCTAAGAACAGAAGGCGGCCTTGTGTGCTTGAGACTAAACATACCACGTTGCAACAAATGTGAAGACCAGTGAACATGGAGAGAAGTGCCTCAGAAATCTCAGGTCCACAGGCACAACAGGGTGTTAAACACAGCAGTGTGTGCAGACACCTGAACAGCACAAGGAGGCAACGGGCAAGAGACCCAAACCCACCACTCCCCAACCCACCGCTCCAGAGGAAGAGAACCCACTCTTGCAATGTGACAATTGGTATGATCCTGCTTTTATATTCCCACCATTTTGACTGAAGAGAGTAGAAGGTGTAAGAAAACGGAAGCCACACACATTTGTATTAAAGGCTCAATTCTGATCTTTGTTACAGGGATGTTACTTGCACTGATGTAGATGGTCTTCACTGAGGGAGGGAAACCATCTGAGGTCAAAACATATTCTTTGCATAGCAAAATATCTACACAGCTACAAAGGATTTTTAAAAAAATGTTCTGCTTTTACCCTTTCAGGCTCCACAGCACAGCACAAAAGACTTCCCCATTAAAAAGGACACAATGCATAAAGTGATTTTAAAAAATTATTCCAGAACAGGATATTTTATAGATGATGAAAGGGAATGAAAGGGCTCATACAATTGGATTTCTGACAATTATGAAGACTATACTGTGATGTGATGTATGAAAGCTTTGCTTGTGCTTTGCTTCATTTGTTTCTCAAGGACTCCTGAGCCTCAACGGTTTCCTGAGGTCCCTTTGTCTGTTTAGGTAAGATTGAAACGCTTGTCGGGTTCCCTACAGAAATCACTGACAGCAGACTCAAGGCTTTCAGTGGACACTTGGACAACTCCTAGAACAGGAAAACTAAGATAAGGAGGACTCGAGCAAAGAGACACAGAGACCCCATTATAGGGAGGATGATTTTGCTGATTTAGGAAGAAGGTACCTGGACTTGACTTCCCAGCACACTCCAGAAAGAAGGTCAGCTAGCAAACACTGTGAAGAAGACCACTTACTTCTTCCCTCGACCACCAAAGACCCTGACTTTATTTTCACTACGTGTGCTCAGACTATGTAAATTAATTCCAGGAACTCATTATCATAAGACAGCCCTTTCCAGGAAATCTAATGAGTATGTGTAATTTGTGTGTATGTAAACTGATGTCCCTTGCTAGTTTTTGGGAGCCCTTAGGGTGGAGAATCCCCAAGGCGACCCCAGTGCTGCTAATACAGAGTACCGGCTTAACAGTAGAAAAAACTTTACTGTTGACTCAATTTCTTTGTTTCAATGATTATGTAATTTTTGAGTGGATGGTTATTTTCACTTCCAGAGCGAATACAAGGTACCTCTTGTCAGACAAGCTGTTTGGAATTTCTGCTTTGTCATCAGCTCAGTTTCTAAAATAAACAAAACAAAGAAAGTATCGCCTAAAATTTATATCCTGCCACAAGTTAATGGACACATCCATTTGTTCACATGTGTATTGCCACAAACAATCGTAAACTGAAGCCAATGCTTGGAGAGGCATCACCTATATTTCATCTTACACACTGAATAAGTATTTTGATAGCAATAAAATTGCTCAGCACAGACAACTAAAGATCAATAAGACTCCATGGTGTCCAGATTTTGAATTAATAGTTTACAGTCTGGCTGACTTACAATTACTAACAAAAAGCCGTGACATTGTCGGGAGTAAATATTTAATGGGATAATGAGGTCTCTTGCGTCCGTATTTTTATACAATATTGTGCTCTGTGTTTGGCTGGATTGCAAGCTTGTTGCGGCCTCTTTCTACACAGGGGTGTTTCGGTGCACAGTGTGAACTCCTGACAGCTACGACAGTATCGACATCGTCTACCGTTTATTTGTGAACAGGAAAGATTCGTCCTCGATTCTTGCACAGTGCCCCTTCACCTGGAGCTCTTCTTCGAGCTTTATAGATGGAGGCGTCCATAAAATAGGGGGCTAAACGTACGTTGGCACGGCGTTCGCGATCCCCAGGACCGGATCCCAAACAGAATCGCTCGGTCCGTGAGGGTCGGAGCCACCGCTCCCCCGGGCCGGGCCGCGATCCCCCTCACACCCGGCCGCCATCGCTGGGCCCTTCCCCACCGCCCGGCCCACGCGTGGAGCCGGGACTAGGCAGAGGACGACGAGCTGCCGCCGCCCGTCCCCGCCAGTGGAATCTCTTTCCTTTTTTTAACACGTTTCAGCTTTTGGGAGGGGGCTCACCGCAGGCAGAGCGGCGCGGCCACACTGAGGCCTA